TTTTAGAGCTGCTTTTGAACATGTATTATGGGCCATGAAGGCTCAGCCCAGTCCGTCATGCGGATCATTCTATAATGGCACTTTTTTATACGCCAGACAGTTGGTGGCAATTTGCCTTGCATAGGTAACGTCTTTTATAATCTGGAAGCTGTAATCCGTCACCACAGGAGATCAGCCCATTCGTGGCCAACTATGAAATAAGGAAGAATATAGAAAAGAAGAATTATATGAAAGGGGTACTATATCGTTAATGTAAAAAATAGGCAGGTATGTTTTGTACATCGGCGTAGAAATCGATCGAGCCGATCATACGATAAATTGTGTAATGTGACAGCCGGAGACAGATGACTGTACGAGTTGTCCATAGGCAAAAGTCGCATAGGGAATCAGTTATTGCCATCACTGAGTTCAAGTATATGTTTCTGGACTGTTAACTTCAGAAAAGAGGGGGAAATGATTAGCACTGGAGAACAAATGTAGCGAAAGGGATCGCAGAACAATATTACGAATTAAACAATTTGTGGTGGAAAATTACGAAAATAGGTCCTGACGTCACACCAGTAAATAAATTTGCTCTCGGTTTTAAGCAGAAGACAGTTGATATGAATTAAGTTTAAAGGGAGTAAAACCGCATGGAAGGTAGCGTTAAGGAATAGCATAAGAAGCGGTTTGTAGCAGCTCATCCTAGCTGATCAAGTTTTTTCTGGTGCAGTAGAGTCGATGTTCTCCGGTATCATACATGATCCGGCCCTTCTTCATACAGCTTTTCATCATCAAGTTGAATGTTTAAGATCCATTTCGCTCTGTCCGTTGACAGATAAGCCTTTATCATTTTCTTGAATATGCAGAAATGTTCAATATATCTAATCTCTTTTGGCAGCTTATTCCAAATGGAGCCCTACCTAAGAAGATAGAAATTTCTCCTTAGACTGCTCTTGAATTTAGGTAAATAGAATATGCATTCGTTATCTCGCAGTTCATAAGTGGTGTTTTCCCGAAAGTGCAATTGATAGGTTCCAATATATGCTTTCCGCCACGCGAGTTTGTGGAGGAAGCACAGATTTAGTTGCATTCTTCGTAACCACAGAGGTTCAAGATTCAATTGCTTGCACCTATCTCGGTATGAAAGAGCGGTTGAACAGCCAAATATGCGCTTCGTAAAGGCGCGTTGGACGTTTTCAATGGCTCGCAAGTCAGCCTTTCGCAAGTTACTGAACTATCTACCTGTTCAAGTTGTGCACCTTCGAGAGTGAGTACGGGAGCACGTGAAAGCCAATCCTTGAGCAGTACTTTACACTTCGATGGGGCGAAGCTCATGCCGTTCTTAGATGCTTCAACCGCCAAACGATCCAGAATGAGTTGCATACTCTGAGGATCGTCACCAAGTAAGGCGATATCATCAGCATAATCTAAGTCGGTCGCGCGCTCACCCGGTAGAAGCTCTAAGCCAAAATGTTGGAAACCTTCTAGAGCATTCGACAGAACGTCTTCGATTGCGAAGTTGAACAGGAATGGGGACATAGGGCAGCCCTGTCGCAAACCACTATTGACAGTGAATGGCGAGGAAAGCTTGCCATAGACCCTCTCTCTGCCGCATGTATGAAGGTAAAGTGCTCGTAAGATGGCGGTATATTTCTCTGGCACCCCGTTCTTTAGTAAGCAACGCCATAAAGCAGGTCGATCAACGGAGTCAAAAGCGGCACGTATGTCCAGAAATGCAATGATAGTGGGTTTGTGATAAATGTGACGATGTTCGAGGAGCTGGCGAAGCGTGAAGATTTGATCCACGCATCCGCGGCCAGAATGGAAACCAGCTTGTTCTTCGCGGTAGTATGATACGCATACTGGGGATAGCCTGCGAAGCAGAATGGATACCAATAGCTTAGAGGCAACCGAGATAAGACTAATCCCGCGATGATTTGCACATGAAGTACGAGCGCCTTTCTCGAACGTCGGGAGAATAACTGATTCGCTCCAAGAGGAAGGCACTTTCTCTTCATGCCAAATTTTTGCGAACAGCGAGGTCAGCTGGTTAATGATCGCCACGCCACCGTACTTGAATAGTTCCGGATTAAGTCCGTCTAAGCCGGCAGCCTTGAAGCGCTTCAAGCGTCGAATCTCGAGGCAGACTTCCGCCTCGCTGGGTGGATTCAGAGGGACGAGCCAGGGTGGACAACAAGGTGTACTGCATGTACTGGATGGTGGAGGCCAGTTGAACTGCGAGTGAGAGTGCTCGGCCCAGCGGTCCATACGCCTCTGTTGGTTGGTGATCGGAGACTCATCCACCTCACAAATGACCTCACTGACACCAGGCTTCCTGAGGCCAGTGGACCGAATGAGTTGGAAAAGCCTGCGAGTGTTGCCAGAGAGGGCAGCGGTCTCCATCTCTAATGCACGTTCAGACCACCATGTCTCGCGATCCTTGCGTAGGCTTTGCTTGAGCAGTCGGTTGGCAAAACGGCGCCGCTCGTTGCAATCTGATTCCGCGGGGATATCTTTGCGGCGTTCGAACAGCTCCAGAGAACGAGCAGAGATCCAAGCCTTCAAGGGGCGTCGAGTTAGGCCGCAGCATGACTGGCCGGAAATGGTCATTGCCTTCCGTATACAAGTCCAGTGTTGTTCCACTTCTTGCGGTGGTGTGCAACTGAATGCATATGCCAGTGAAGACTGATAGTTCGCCTGCACAGAGGAATCGGTTAATCTGTTTACATCAATCTTGCGGTGCTTCGTGTTTCGGGATCCTCCAAAACACAGATTTTCGCGCAGACCAGAGCATGATCTGAGTCAACGAAGGTGGACCAAAAGGACCTGCAGTCTAGTACGCTGCCGCGCCATCTGAAGCCAATTGCAATGTGATCAATCTGAGACCACGGTTGTGTTGAAGAAGGGGGACGCCACGTTGCGGAACGCTTCTTCGTACGCCTGAAGTTAGTGCTCGAAAGAAACAGACTGTTGTCTTCGCACAATGTGAGAAGCCTCTCTCCGTTATCAGAGCGGTTCTCATCGAGCGCGTGATGACCACCAAGGTGGTGTTCGTATGGTAACAGGCGGCCAGCCCGTGCATTAAAATCCCCAGCAAGGATAACGACACCCGACTTTTTGGCATTAGTCAAGAGCTGTTGTAGATCCCGGTAGAATTCGTCCTTGACCGAGTCGCCACTGCAGTCAGTTGGAGCGTACACGGAGACCACAAACAAGTTGTGTCGCTCTTCGCGGTGTCTGTTGATTCTACATGAACCCCGAAGCCGAACTGCACATAGTCGGCTATTAATAGGGAACCAGTCCAGTAGTGCCGCCTCGGCCTTGCCACTTAGTGCTATATCGACACCAGCCAAACCCGCTGAGGCTGCTTCTGAATCTCCAGAAAGACGCAGGTAATATCTGGCTTCGTGGTCAGTAGGGGATGTCAGTGTGAGTACAGTGCTGGGATCTTGCAATCGGGTTTCTGAAAGGCAGCAGACATCAATGTCAATGGAATCTAGAGTGCGCGCTAGACCGGTTTGCTGTCCAATCTGCATGAGTGTCCGAACGTTGAAGCACGCTAAACGGAACGAGGATGGGGGACGAAGGAGAGCCATAGGTTGAATTCCTTGGTCTGCGGCGCAACCGGAATCGCAGCCAGATTGTTGAACACATGAATCAGGTAACGGAAAGTGAGGATTGTTAACAAACAAACAATTGGCGTGTGATGAAGTAGCGTAAAAATGACTAGCAGAGACTGTAGCGGATGAGCACGTTGTAATACAGTCCATGGCTTTGCGCGAGGGCGTGATACTACCCGGTTGCCCAAGCCGAAGTAGGGAGTTGACTTAGGGGACTCCACCCGGAGCCTTTGGCTAAATAACCTACCCGCAAGGCAGCGGGGCGAATTTAGGGAATCCCGCCCATTGGGAGGCGTTGACTGAATGTTCAGTTCATGCGTCTTTGTTTGGTAGATTACCAAACGGGGGCCCAATACTCCCCATGAAGTCAGCACACCTGCTGGAATACAATGTCCCACCGAATTGGAACATTGTCGCCGAACACTTTGCTGGAACGGGGTACACCCGAACCACCCAGCTGGCACAGCGAGGAGATAGTTCGGCAAGCCAGCCGGCGAAGGTATTCAGATGCTTATTTCGACCCAGAATTGCAGCCGGTTGATAATTCTCTCACCAGTGTCCTCGGTCAACCTTTCAAGCTATCTGATGAATTCAAACGAAATTATAAAAAATGGCTAGAAGAGGAAGTGTTCTCTGTTCCCATCAACTGGTCACAGCTTTTGGCCGGTTGACTGACCTCAGGATAATCGTGTCACTCTTCGCTTTACTAGTTCGATTTTCTTCACTGCACTCAAGCGCTAGACGGCCGTTTCGTCCTATTGGGACTCGTCAGTAGCGCGCACCCGCCGAATCCTGCTGGATCCGAACCCACGACCTTACTCTTGCGAGTCAGCGACGTACGCCACTGAGCCATGGGCGATGGCAGCGGACCGCCATAACTGATATCTAACTGCGATATAGCGCGGCTCATCCTCCACTGTCTTGCATGTGCAGAGGACAGGGCTAGCCCCCAGAGCAACGACTTCCTTTGCAAGCCGCCACCAATCGAGGTGACAGGTATGCTGCTAAGGCGACTACTGATTATTTGTACGCAGTAGGGGGATTTAGACCCGACCCGAACTCTTTTTACCCTATGGATCATGTAAAGCTCGAGCTTTTATTCCCATTACATGCAATGTTCCAATGTACATGAGCATGTTTACCCTGACTATACCAGGCATCCGTCAGGGGCAACACTAATCGCTTATCGTTAGGTTGCTCCGACCTACTGTAGCCGGTCCGCTGGCGTCACGTTAACAGGTAAGAGGTCGATCGCTTACGCTTCCTGTTATCCTTACGTTCCTATTCCATCCTGTGACTTTCCCTTCTCTCTTCCTTGCTTCCTTAGTTGCCTCCTTTACATCGGCCTCTTACTATTCGGTTGAGCGTCTAGCCGTCTACGAGGTATTTATTTTGCATTGCAGCTTGTCGCACTACTTGGACACGGAAGAGCTCAGAACGCCGGAATATGTAATTTTTCTTACAAATGGATCACTTTGGTTTCAAAGATGTTATCGCTTTGTTATCGCTGGAACGATTTACATCTTTTAATTGGGAATTGCTATTCACTTAGGTGATATAGCATCGCCATGCTATTGTGTCGTGCGTTTAGAAGAGAATGGTGTGGTTAGAAGGACAGTTCTAAGCAGCACGTGGCTGGTGGGAGATAGCCGGCGCGCCGTCATTCCCTCTGCATCGGTACATGACTACCACAATGCGGTTCGTCAACACCGCCGACCAGAGCCCGGTGATCCATGTCACCGTGTTGACGTTATATGTCGCACAGGTAAGCCTTCACTTTCATTACTTGCCCACAGCGGACTTTGACGAAGTAATGCGTATCTTTGCACCATAGCCAGCTGTTTGTGACTGTATGTTGTCTACACAAGGTGTAGGTGCCTTGACCCTGAATGTTTGCTTAGGGCATTAAGGTTTTCAGGTAAGTCCCCCTTCTCTCCCTCTTCTTATTCTTTATTTCATAGGTCCTCATGGTTGTATGGCAGCGAAGCATCAGTTCAAATGGCTGATGTACTGCTGTTGATGATGATGCTGATGAAGGAGATGAACTAACGGAGGAATCCGACGGAACCGTCTTCATGGGCTCTCCTCCGAACCGTTTAATGTACTGTGCAATATACCTATATGTATACATGTACGTAACCGCCACTTTCAGACGTGCCCCCAGTCGTTTTAATACGGAGACACATTAGGAATCCCAAAGAAGACGCGTCAAACCATGTTCAGTGGATTGCGGTGCGGCGCCACAGGCAACTTCCATCTTCGAAGTTTGAAATGTGCACCGTAACTGTGCAAAATACATACACGCGAGGATGGGGAAGGTTAGTGCGTGGTATAGCGATTGCTATTGATTGTAGTAGTCACAGGTATTCTCCAGGAAACAGCACCTATGCGGAACTTCAGTGCATCTCAAGGTAAGCCCTATGTCATTATGCTAATGCCGCTGCTCACAGCAACTGATTACGCCGCAGCAATGCCCCGCACTCGTCTATGCGATGAAGACAGAGGTACGTCATCAATGTGCAGTGACGTTATGTATCCTTGTTGTGGGAAAGCATCCGACAAATGCAGAGTGATGTGGACGCGTTAAAAAGCCAAATGGAAACACTTTCGAGTAGGATGCTTTTTACAATTACGCATGATCCTTAGGTATACAACACGATATGAGGGGGATTGCTTGTGAAGACCAACAAGCGAACTTTAACAGAATCCGTTCACCAGTTAAGTGCAAGTTCAGCGGTATACCTGCCTCTACCTGTGCCCACCATGGAGAAGCTTTAATAATTCGATGCCTCACTAGGAGATGGCACAAGCAAACGAGACCTGATAAGAATGCGCAAAATTTCCGTTCATTACATACAGACTGCTATACTTCAAGAAGTACCTGGAAGTATATTGTCTGAGGCTACCGGTCGGATGATGGAGAGGTTGATGCAACGGCAAGTAGCAGGCGCTATCAACTTTTCAGGCGCGCACGACCTCTGCGCTTTCAAACGGTTAACAATGTACACTGTGCTCCTAGGTGAGATTCCATTGTCATTTATGATCCCTCGTTAACAACTGTGCTTATCGCTAGATTTGCTGACGCTGGCGTGTCACAGACTGACGTTTGCTACAGCGTAAGGCATTTCTTACGAAATGTCAGATCGCACTACCTTCGACGACCAACCGGGTGTAGCGTCAGTGAGCAGTCTGAGGTAACATTTCCGTTATTCTTTTGCAACCTAACGTGCGTATAGGGTGGCCAGCATACAGAAGAACTCGGACACAACATACTGGATTTGTAGAAACACTGTGTTAATCTGTGTTCTCAATATATTGGCGTCCCTGATCAGTTTCTGTGATCTTTCCTATCTTTTCGCGATCGATATAAGGTACACTTCAAGTTACTGAAGCGTGTGCTCCCGTTACTTGCCGCGGGGAGCATAGGTTACCGTTCAAGAGGCATTTGGTGGGCGTACTACGAGCCTGCGTAACCCACGTGCGTGGGCGACCAATAAGAGGGTGCCGTGAAGGTCAACTGGGGCAGCCGGTAATTGCTATAGTCATTATTTGACCTTGAGGGCAGAATGCTGCCATTTAGATCTTAACGCTATTGGCTATCGCAGCATTTTTGCAGCATTCCTTTCATATGCTGCAATAGCAGCATTTTTCGGTAAAAATGCTGCAAAATGTCTGCGCTTTGCTGGGTGGGGGCTAACAACAGCAACGATTAAGTTATGCCTAAAACTGTCAAATTTATTATAAGGCTTTGTAGAAACATGGAGGTCATTAGTCCGATTTTTCATGTAAATGGTGTCAGCAATGTCCCAATAACTGAAATGTGCATGTCCATTTCAGGGGACATGACATATTGAAATCCCCATAGTAGGTATACCTACTATCTTACGGTGTAAAGGCAATAGGTAAACATCAACAAACGATAGCATTTCTGTAGTCTTCACCCTCAGTTTTGTGGAGATTTAAATATGCAATCCATTAAGAGATCACGTATGCCCTATTCGCCTGGATCCAGGCCAAATCCACGGTATCAAATAGATAGCAACTCAAAACTGTACTCTAGGAAATCATTCCAGACGTAACTAAGCCTTCTGTGGCCGCGTCGATGTTACCTACACCGCCTAACGTTTTGTAATCAGAGTTGTGTAGCAATTTGTTAAGGGCACTTCGGAGATACAATGTTTCTGTGCTTATAACAATTTATAGGCAAAAGAGCAGAATGGAATTACCAATAAGGTAGATCTGATGTTTTTTAGGTCTTGCGTTGTTAAAGTTTATGCCGTATGATCCACTGCTAGTAGTGTAAGGGGAGTGAACTCTGGGTCATATGTTGCACGATTGCGAGCCACTAGCTTTAGGTCAGAAAACGGCTGCATGTAAGTAGTAAAGAAACGTTAAACATACCTCCTGTTTTCGACCTCATCGCGGTCTGAGGGAATGAATTAAAAATTTTGATAGCAGACGTCATTGGGGCACATAAATTTTCCATAGTGGAGCTATTAGCATAGTGCAAGATAAATGTTTTTTGGATCATTGGATGATAGGGAGCAGAAGGAAGATCCTTTGTCAGCTTCTTCACTTCCCGATCATTGCGGAGAGAGCGTGGGTCATTGTTGCACAAGGTTCCGCAGAGGATCACTGTAGCTGCCTTAGAGGCAGCAGAACCCCAGAGCGCTCAGGTGAGAATCCAACCGTTGTTTGCAACGTTTCTCTGTCACGGCATCAACAATAAGATCCGGCAGCCGGTTCCAATCACTCACTACGCGAGTTGATAAGGCCAAATTGAGCCGCACACGGAGATTCTTCGGTTTAAACGGTTTCATGCGGTGGCCTAATGTCGAACTCTGTGTTGAGTTGGAAGAAGTCCTGTAACTCGCAACCCAGTTCTCCTCTGAGAATACGCCGAGTGAATATCAAATCTCCGCGGTGATGGCGGTAACCTAGAGAGAACAAGTTCAGTCGTTGAAGTCGGAGTGGATACGACAGGTCTCGCAACTCAGGGACGGATTTGGATCCACGCCGTTGAACCTTCTCTATAATATCACATTCGGATTTGGTGTAGACAGCAGGTAGCCCGTATTCGAGAATCGAGCATACATGCGAGCCAAAGAGGAGTCGGAAAAGCCCCGGGGTCAGGAGACAAAACCCTCTACGTATAGAATGGAACATCCTGTAGGCTGCTGCGACCACGTTCTGGGTGTCTTGAATAGATTTGAGGTCTGATGACACTATCGCTCCAAGATCCCTCTCTTGGGTTGCGCTTCTGAGCAACGGAACACCAATGTGGTAAGTTTCAAATGGATTAGATGAGCCAACGAGGAGAACAGAGCATTTATCACGCTTTACGAGCAACTGCCACTTAATCGACCAATCATGGAGTAGATCGAGCGTAGATTGTAATCTGTCCGCGTCTTCAAGGCTGGATACCAATCCATAGCTCTGGGTCGTCAGTGTAGATTATGCAATCCGTCTGAAGAGTGGACGGTTAGTCGTTGATGAAGATATTGGAAGTACGGGACCCGGGACAGAGCCCTGTGGGACCCCACTCGTCATGAGATCAAGAGCAGAAAATGTGTCATTCACGTTCACCTGCATAGAGCGGTCGTTTAGGAAGTCGGAGATCCAAGACAGCAGGTTCCCAGAAATACCGATTCCTTGGAGCTTAAACAGAAGCCGTTCGTGCGGGACTTTGTCAAAATCTTTGCTGAAATCAACAAACACAACGTCCAAGCGTTTGTCGGAGTCTAGCGACCTTGTCCAGGTCTTCTTAGCAACGAGCAAGTTCGAGGTACAGGAGCGTGCTTTTCGGAACCCATGCTGGGTATAAGAAATGACATTCTGTCCCCCAAGATAAAGATTAACAGCCTGTTTTAGGATCCGTTCCATAACTTTACACACTATTGACATCAAACAGATTGGACGATAATTGGCCGGATCATGTCGATTTCCTCCTTTGTAGATGGGTTTGACGATACTCACTTTCCAAGCTGAAGGAAGACGGCCAGCTTCTAGTGAACGACGAAAGACTTGCCATATGGGTGAATCTATGTACTCCGTCACAGTCCTGAGGAACAAAGCATGCAATCCATCAGGGCCCGGTGAGCTATACGGATCTAACTCAAGAACAAGTTTCATCACAGAATCAGTGTTAATATCTACTTGGGCCAACGAAGATGGAAAGGTGGATACGGCTCTGTCATTAAATGGTTTTTCTTTCGCGTAAACAGAAGCGTATTGCTTAGCCAAGTGACTAGCTTTCTCAGCGTCCTCGTGAAGTAAAGCTTGATGCTCACAGGAACACAAAACAGGGATGCCATTACCTGCTCTATTGCTTCTTTTCAAATAAGAGTAGAGCATTTTAGGTGCGATTCTGGAGTGTTGTGCCAAGGATAATTCGTATTCTCGACGTTTCTGGCGCTTCATCGCGACACAAAGATTTCTGGCAGTCTTGTAGTGAGAGAAGTCGGGTTCTGATTGAGATTGCCTAAAGCGGTCCCATAATTTGCGCCTTCTATTCATAGTTGACCTCAATTCTCGATCCATCCAAGGTGGACCTCTAGTGAAGGACTTTCGATGGGAGGAGGGAACGACCTGCTCAATTAGCGACGTCATTTTGGAGAGCACAAGATTCCACGCGTCATCGAGGTGAATGTGTTCAGGGATACCCCAATCCGTAGCGCTTGCGGCCGTTTTCAGACGGAGTGGATCGGCACGCCCCATAAATTTCGTCGGTGACCACCGTGGCTATGGATCGTGAGACGGCGAGTCCAGTAGAATGAAACCACACAATGATCGCTCTTGCCTATGGATTGAAGAACGGTTAGGTTCGTGACATCCGAATCTGCCGGGGTGAGCACGAGATCCAGGATGTGCGGGGTCTGGTCTGGGAAAATATGAGTAGGCGCCAAGTTATGCTGAACGAGACTGCAGTCGAGAGCGGTTTTAAGCAACGTGACATCGAAGGAGTCACATCGGCGATCACAAAGAAGTAGGTCGCAATCGATATCCGGTGCATTGAAATCTCCCAAGATTAGACAGTCTTTGTGCCCACTATACATCCCAACAAGCACGCTCCGGGGCCCGATGGCGCTCTGTGGACGACACCGACCAAGAGAGATCTGCATCCGTCATGAACACAGCACCAGAGGGCTTCGAAATTGTCATCCTTGTCACTGATGGCTTCAACTAAATGTACTTTGAGATCTGTCTTCCAGTAGAGAATTACTCCACCACCTGACCTCATTCCGTGGCGATCAAACCAGGAGTGATGATATCCAAGGATAGACGCTTCCGAGTCCGTGATATCTGAGAATAGCCAGATTTCGGTGAAGGCTATCAGGTCTGGACGAGTCTCCGAAGTAAGTAACTGAATTTCATCCGGTTTATTCCTCAGACTGCGCACATTGGCAGATAGCACGCGCAGTCCGTTTTTATGCTTTACTGTCTGGGGGTGACAAGAATCGGCCTCCAGCAGGTCGTAGGTTCAACAGGCCGGATGTATGTCAATGGGTCCGAATGAGAAGTACACGGGACTGGGGTGGCCGCGACTTTTGGAGCGTCGCTGGAGGATGTGTTGCTCCGCTTTCTGGCACGCCTAGCAGAAAGAGCGGAAGAACCTCTTTCGGGATGTTGATGTGGCGGACGCCTTGCCAGCGCAGCAGCATCGATGCAATATCGACAAATCCATAGCAACCCCTTGTGCTCAGCATAGGTCTTGAAGAACGGTTCAGTATGTTGCGAGCAACGCTTTTGGCCACATGCCCAGAGATTGCAGGCAATGCACTGGATACCCTTAGTCACCACTTTCGCACAATGCAAACACTGTGAGTTAGACATAACCACTTGATCTCAGAGAAAATTTGACAATGGTTAAATTTTGTCACGAGTGTTTCGTGAAACGCTGGGCTTCGCGATATTTCACCTAAAAGCTCGATCAGTATGGCACGCCAAAACATGGAGTTATTTTTTAGCACTCACAGTGACGAGTCTTGCAACTTCAAGTGAGACCGGAACTATAAGGTTATACCGTGAGTGTTCCTTCTTCAACGGGTTGTTGAACCAGGAGTTGACCAAGTACTTTGAGGCTGGACCTTACCGTGGTGCGATGGTTTGTGTGCCTCAGCGATCCATTGAGCTATGTTGGGTGGTGCTTTTGCACCTTCAGAGTCACTCATACCAGATTGGTCAATGGTTAGAGGCCAGACAAACTCAGCCTCCTGGTCCTCCAGGTTGGGGGTTGAAATGAGGGTGGCACCTTATTCCTGAAAACGGACTCCTTGTAGCCCAC